GATAAGTAATTTAGTCACAAATAAGTGTTCCTTTCTACTACAGATAATCCTACATATATAACTTGTTCTATTAAGAGAGAGGGACTTCCCTAGTAGCTAAGACAGTAAGGAATCCGCCTGCAATACAAGAGACATGCAGGAGATCTGGGTTTGATCCCTTGGTTGGGAAGATCCCCTGAAGGAGGGCATGGTCACCCACTCCAGCATTCTTGCCTGGAGAATCCCCTGGACAGAGGAGCCTGGCAGGCTACAGTCCATGAGGTTGCAAACAGTTGGACACGACTGAGCCCCTAAGCACAGCACATTAACAGAGAGGGTTGATGGGAGAGGGACACTGAAAGGGAACAATAAGGACAAACTTCAAATTCTAGGTAATTTATGTATGATAAGACCTCCCAGAACAAGCATGGTATTGATTTTAAATTCAGTAAGTTAATCTATAAAGAACTATGATGCTAACAAAAAGTTAAAATTCTCAAAAGAATTCCAAGCAAATATTTGGTAAGCAGATCCTGTATAGCTGATATTGTTAAAAAAAAAAAAAAAGATATAATGAAACAAGAAATAAATGAATGTCAAATGACAGCCTAACAATACATGAGAAAAATGTCACCATCAGATGAAAATTTAAACAGAAAGTTTATAATAATCATAGACAAATCTATCTGTCCACCACACAAATCTCCTTTTTCTAGTTCAATGGTTCTCAAACTTCAACATGCATCAAAAACACCTGGGGGCTTGTTATGACACAATCATTGGACCCCACCCTCAGAGTTTCTATTCACTATGTCAGGGGTAGGGACCTGAGAATTTGCATTTTAAACAAGTTCTTAGGCAAGGCTGATGATGCTGGTCCTGGACCCACTGTTCAATCATTTATTCAACACATTTTAAGCACCCACTATGTAGAAGGCACTAATCTAGGTATTCCAAACAGAACAAGACAATTTCTCCTTTCACAGTGCTTAATTTTTGTAGGAAAACAAATTGCAAAACTGAAAGTAGATCATTTTCCAATGAATAACAGTAATAACAACACTTTTTATCGAAAGGCACAGCCCAAAATCTAGAACACATCAAATCTCTTTGGCATACTATCAAAAAGGACTTCTATGAACTTTATTATACAGCTCTAGAATCTTAAAAATGTTTATAATAAGCATGGATTACTTCTGTAGTCTAAATAACTAAGATTATTAAAAACATTTATACAGAAAAATTACTTGGAGGAAACATAAAAATGATACTAGGATTTCTGAGGTAGACTATTGGTTTTACTCCTTCAGTACTTTTCTATATTTCCAAATACTGTACAGGAATAAATAACTGTTTTTCTGGCCATAAAAGCATCTTAAAAATAGAATTCTTTTTTTTTAATAGAATTCTTAAATCATTTTTAATGCTATCTTGAAATTATAATTTCCACGATTTTGTTTTTAGTAATCTACTGCTTTTTCTAACCACCTGAAATCGCCTCTACCAAAATAATAAGAAAGGAAAGACAACAGATTATAGCCACCACAAACAGGAAAGATCCAAATAATGGGAAGTACCATGAGTACAGTATTTTCATAGCAGCAGTTTGGAATAATTTCTCATTTTGAGTTCTTTATTTCCCAGTTTCTAATGTGCCTTTCCTACAGTTTTGTATATAACAGTTATTCACATACTAATGATTCAGTAAGAGAAGTAATGATTCAATAAATAAAGTGTTGATTTGCAGTCTCCTCACCTCTAATTCTCTTCCACTGAGTTAATAAAGCTATTGCATTAAAAAGAAAAATTACCTTAACTTTTACCAGCCTTTTCACAGTCTTAATTTTTGCCTCACAGAAGGCACCTCGGTATTTGGCACTGACATCAGTCCCCACTGTCAGGTAGGCAGGCTCATCCGCCGCCTGAAGAAAGAAAGATGAAATAGGAAGGTCACTGCTGTTTTCCTCAACCCCAAGTCTCATTGAAAGGTTCTATATTTCAAGTAGTAGGAACTCTAACATTATTGGCTTAATATTATTAATATCACTAATAATTTGAAAAATATTCCTAAAGTACTTTGTTAGCAATCCTTTACTTAATAAACTATATCTTGATAACATAAAACATTTTAAGTTGTAACTATAAAGTATCAGTAGGGAAATATAATGTATTCTCATCCAGGTACAAAATGATTCAACAATTTTACAATATATTTAAGAAATGAAAAAATTTAAAAATCCAGAAAAAGCCTATTTATATTATCTCATAGAATTTTAAGTTATTCACTTATGGCCTCCTGAAAATTTTATTTTCAAATTAAAAGAAATATGCTATTAAAATTAATACTAACAAATACATAATTAAATGTTTAATATAGTTACATAAAGGCAACATCTTGGATACACTATAACAGACATAACAGATAATGAAGCTAATCTTTTTGACAAAGAGAACATTATTTATAAAAATCATTGGCTAAGTGCTGCATTTTACAGCTTCAAGTCTAAATTATCTGATTAATACAGAGATGTGAACTGATAGTAGTAGTACCAAGTTTATCACACTCATCTTGGTATATATTTTTTTTAAGTTTCAGAAAGAAGTATCTGCTTTCAGCAAATGGTCATGATCAGAATGATACATTGAAAGATGTGAGAAATATCATTCCTCCATTCATTTTAATCTTGATAGTAACAGAATGATTGCTCTCTCAATCTGTCACTTTACCAACTTTATTCAAAAGTATATGCATACAAATTCAATTCAACATTGCTAAGTGCAACGGTGACAGTGTACAGTTTAGAGAAATACTTTCAAGTAGAAAATGACTTTTCATTCTATTTTCCCAACTAACATTAAAGAAGGTACACTGTCACGTCAAAACTTCAAGGAGATGGGCAAGGAAGAGGAAGTTTGGGAAAATACTGTATTTCAGAGTTCAATACACCGAAACAGTAAATGAGTAAGAAATCAAATTTAAAGTTAGTGCATTTATGAATAATGCAAATTGATGAGAAATACTTTTTGCAAATAACTATCTAACCTCAAACATTCAATGCCTCAGAACTACAGGTTGGTATACCTTCCTTTCCCTTTAAACATCACAGGATGTCTGCAATATCAGTTGTCTTCAGAAGAATTTTTTTTTAGGTTGGGTATATGTTTAAAATATTTACTATAAGTACTGAACTGAAATTAAGTGTTATTAGTTATGATAATAATATACAAAATTCAGTTTTAGTTCACCTTCAAATATATTCTAGCCACAAAATTTCACTTTATCCCCAGAAGAAATGGTATGTCCCTAACACAATACACACATTCCTTCTTTAGAAAATCTCATTGGCACTGGGGAAGAAAAAAAATTCAAAAAATCCCCCCAAAGAACCAAAGCAGGACAAAAGCTTTACTTCTGCAAAGGTTGCTGCCAACACAGGAAGTGTTTAAAAATACTAGCCCAATGGACAACAATGGAAGGGCTGCAGCAGCCTTTCCAAAGTGCTAACTGCTTCGGAGAGGGGCCAAACTGACCGCATTTAGACACAATGATCATCTCTTACCCATTCAACACGTCCTCATTTTCAGAAAGCTCTGCTTAGTAGAGGAATTAATTTTGAGTAGCCAAAAAAATGACATTCCATAGCACCAGCCTCACGACAGGCAGTGTCCAGGGCACGAGGTTCCGAGCAGCGTCGACTCCACTTACCTTCATTTTCACTGGCGATCTGTGGGGTTCCAGCTCAACGAGCTATCTTCTCTGTCGCTATAACCAAGGGAAGGAGAAAGACAGGCACAGAATCAGTCAACGGAGGGGAGCGACTCGGGGAAAGAAAGTAAACAAACGCCAACGGGGAGGGGCAGAACCCTCACCGGGAAGGGATAAGATCCCCTCCGAGGGCAGCCAGGACGCAGGAGCCGAGAGGGCGGCGAGAACCCCACCGGCGCCAAAGGGCAGCGGGTTTCGCCGCGGAGTTCGCCAGCGGCCCACCGCGCCCCCGCTTTGCTAGCCACTTTGACCCGGAATGCTCAACTCAGTGCCCCCGGACGGGTTGCTCCGGAGAAGGGCAGAGCGCCGTTTGGGCTTCTCCGGGCCCCTCGCAGGCGCGGTCGCTCAGCCTTCTCTCGGCCGCCCCCCGGATACCCCGACTTCGGCCCGCGCCCCGCCTCCGCCGCTCGGCCCCCTCGGCCCGCCCCGGGCCCGCGGTGGCGGCAGCGGAGTGTCACGGCGCCATTGCTCTCCTTCCTCCGCTCTGCACCATGTCAGGAAGGAGAAGCGCTTCTTCACCCAAAGGGGCAGGGGCCGTGGCCTTCAGCCTGGAGGCGCGCGAGGGAGGGAAGACCCGCGAGGGGGAGAGGGCTGGGAGAGGGGGGGCGGAGAAGAGGAGGGGAGGTGGCCCGGACAGGGTGTGGGAGGGGAGGGGAGCTGCACAGCGGCAGCCGCCGCCTCCTCCCCGCGCCCGCCTCAACTTTTTGTACAGCCCAGAGCGGTACCAGCCATCAGCCCCTCGGGTCCTGCCACGGACTCCACCCGGGAGGACGCACCGCGGAGTTGGGGGGCCGGCTCCCCTAAGCAGTCCGCTCCTCGCATCGCGGAAGCAAACTTAGCGGCGCGACCAGCCCCACAGCCATTTTCCCAGGGAACCTGGGGAAGCGGCCGAGGATATTGCTGCGGAGGCTGTTCTTGCAGTTGCTGCCGCTGCTCCACGACTTGCCCCTTCTCCGGTGCTGACCGCCCCGCTTGCCAAGCATCCCCCTCCCCACCTCCTAAGCTTCCAACTGCACCGGGACCCCGGGCAGCAGCGCCAGCTGCTAGTGCCGCTTCGTCCACTCAGTACCCTCGCTTCCCTTCTCCCCACCTACCAACTGTGGGTGAAGTGCGCGCTGTCAGCTCCCGAGTCCTCCGCCCCACTGACCCCCGTGGGCCCCCGTCCGGGAAGCACCACTCCCGGCCGCGGCGGCAGTTCCTGCGCCGGGTTCCCCACTCTCCCGATTTACTGCCACAATCCACCAAATAACAAGCTGTTGAGCAGACTCGCTTCTACACGAACTCCTATTGGCTGCTCATGACGCCGAAGAGTTTCGGATTGGAGTTCGCTACCTGCCGTCCTCATTGGATGTAGCTCTGAAACTTCACGGATTGGTGCGAAAAACAGCAGGTAGGACATCGTCCACTTGTGATTGGCTGTCTCCGAAGACTAATGTTACTGGAGAATCAGGTAGTGAGTAAGCAAGTCCTGAAAAATGATTGGTAAAGACGACTACGGATGTGCTCGACTGAGCACTGATTGGTCAATTGAGGGGTCAGGAAGAGCAGTGCGGCACGAGGATTGGCGGTGGAGTGTCCCATGGAAACCGAACCCGGAGCTGCGGCCAGGACTTGCAAGGGGGCGGGGCAGGGTCTTTCCAAGGCGCCTGCGCTGAACCAGCTTCTCGGCGCCATTTTGTCTGGGCAGAGGTGGCCGCAGCTGTATCGCATTTTATGTTTCTGGCGAGAGGAGAGCGGAATCTTTATCCCGTGAATTCATTTAACTGCGGCAGCCACCCGCCGATTCCTCCAGGACAGCACCTAGTGAAGGTCGGAAGAGTCCCGATCTCTCAGAAAGGTCAGTTGAAAGCGGTGGTTGTCCGGTGGACTGGGGGATGGCGCAGCTCTAGCGGCACCGGCACCGGAAGTGAGGGGGCCGGGCGGCGGCCATAGCAGAGATCTCCCTGCGCCGGGGTGGGGAGCTGCTCGCGGGCGGGGGTGGGGGACGGGCTGAGAGGGGGCGAGGCTTCGTCTCCCGCGGCCTCAGAGAAAGAGGCGGAGGGGACGTGCACGTCTCCTTCTCCGGGCTGACCGTTTGGGCTCCTCTCGGGAGGGTGAGGGATTTCGGGATTCTGCTCATCTCAGAGCAGTGCGTCCTCCCTTTGGAAGTGGTTTGGGCAGCTTGTCCTGTTCTGCGACCAAGGGCCACCAACTGAAGGTTCCTCACCAGTTAAGATGGGGAGGGGAGGCTTCTGAGTCCCATCCTGCGTGGGAAGGTGTTTCCGCGTGCTACTCACGCGGTTAAGCAATGAGGAGACTTCAGAAGAAAACGCTGAGTTTGGGTGCACAGGAATTCGAACTCCCTTGTTAGCACGACTCTGCTGCTCTGACCTTAGACAAATGGCTGTGCCACAGTGCACGGGGCTCACGAGCTTTTCGAAAGGAAAGAGCAGTGGATTTGCAGGGACTGAAAACACTTTAAATGAAAGGACCTCCCCCATAGGACTTTGTTAGGGAGCCATTGATTTTGCTTCATGAACAAGATCTTGTGTTCTGTTTCAGAAAACCCTCATTTGAAATGGTAGGAATAGAGTATTATTGGGCAAGTTATTTTAAATATTGAAATAATTAAGAAAATGTAAAGAATCGATAGTAATCCACGTTGACTAAATTTACTCGAGGACATCTCTACTAAAGCTGAATCAATTTTTCACTCGTAACAGTTTTTTCAGAATTATTTGTTAAGAAATTGCAATGCTTATTAGTATTTTTATTGAGTCGCCTAATTACACTCATCTGAATAGCTGCTTAAATGATCTTCATAATACTTGTTTTGAACCCTATTGTTATATTGGTGGGTCTCCAGACTAGAAAATGATCGAGTGATTTAATGATTTATTTGGGCTTTTTTAGCAGTTGGTCTGAAGAAAACAGAACAGCTCAGTGACAGACATCTGCAAGTATTCCTGAGGTGAGTTATAATGTCTGTAAAAATATTTGGAATTGGGGAGAGTGCCTGGAAAGTTTTTTATGGATCAATAAGGAGAGCCATAAATAACAAAATCAAAGAGTGGTAGTTTAAAAAGTCTTTGGTCAAGGGTTCAAATGAATCTGTGTAATTCCCTTCCTGACAGTGATACTTTAGAAGGAAGTCTTAGAGTTAGGACACGCATGAATTTGTTTACCCACTCATGCTGTTCCCATTTCTCGAAAATTAAGTGCTTAATACTTTTATCAAGGAATAATATGGAAATTTTTATGATTTTTTTTCTCCCTATTTAAAAATGTGGCATATAGAAAAGGTGTTTCAGTAAGAATTTGGAAGTTACCCCCTTTTTTTTTTTTAAAGGAAATTATAGAATGTGTAGTATACTACTCAACTTCCCCAGGGGGTAATCACCTGTAATGCCACTGCCTGACTTAAAACTTATCTGATCCAAATAATACCTGTCAGTGGGCATTTGGAAATTGCCAAAAAAAAACAAAAGAAAAAAAAGTGAAATGTATCACCACTACCAAAAGGTGATTGCGGTTTATACCGTACTTATATGTTATTCACAGAGATGTCCCTTTTTCTCTGGTTTTGTTTTACAAAATAAAGGTCATTCTAGTCGTGCTCATTTTGTCATTCAAGTTTTTTTCTTTGTGGGAAATACTGGGAACATATGCGTTCATGGTTGCATAGTGTTCTGTAGGGTAAATGTGCCATATTTTATGTTACCAGGTCTTTTAATTTTTATAATAGCAGTAATATGTCTGAATATCCTTGTGCGTGTTTTACAAAAGATATTCTCTGAGAACTGATGGCTATGACTAAAATTTCTACGCATCTAGGTATTTCCTGACATGCCCGATTATTTCTTCAGAATAAATTTCTAGAAGTGGAAATAAAAGGGCAAAGAAATCATACCACTGTCCATCAAAGCGTTTGCTCTTACCTTTTTTCTTGTACTTTTTCCTGTTATTACTCTCTTTCCTCTTCTGCCCCCCTTTTCTTTATATAATTTGGCTTTGTTTTTGAGCTTTATCTCCTGGGTCTCTGTGTAGTCAGGTAAAATTATCAGTCTTTTGTGTCACCCATATAGTAAAATAAGTGAGAATTTTTTGGACCTTAGGGGTATTTTCTTAAAATTAATTTATTTTTTTGCTCTAGTACAGTTAGGCGTTTGTACAGTGAAACGTTTTATTACACAGAAGCGACGTTTCGACTTACTAAAAACAAATTATTTTTATAGTAGAGTTAGTTGAGATTAACTATGTTTCCATGTAGCCTTCCGAAAGTGAAGTGAAAGTTGTAGTTGTGTCCAACTCTTTGCAACCCCATGGACTATACAGTCCATGGCATGGAATTCTCCAGGCCAGAATACTGGAGGGGGTAGCCATTCCCTTCTCCAGGGGGTCTTCCCAACCCAGGGATCAAACCCTGGTCTCTTCCTCATTGCAGGCAGATTCTTTACCAGCTTAGCTACCAGGCAATCCCAAGAATACTGGAGTGAATAGCCTATCCCTTCTCCAGCAGATCTTCGAGATCCAGGAATTGAACTGGGGTCATTCCCAGGTGCTTTTGTACTCATAGGACCTTCTGTGTGCCTCTCTCATCATGTTTAATCACTGTTACATTACCCTACCTGCTACAGTATATGTATGCTATCACTATTTCTTAGGAATCTTTATGTACTTATATATAGGAAATGTGAAATAAGCAGACTTGTGTTTTCTTTAACAGTAATTCTCTTCTGAAAATTTGTATTTTACCAGTGCCGGCTTAACTTTCAAATTTTTTTAATGTTTCAGATACCTGATTTAATACTGAGTTGAATTGTAATTGCTCATGTAATAAAGATTTAGAGAACCATTAAGAATAGTTATTCATGACATTTGTCTTTTTTTTTTTTAAGATTTTATGATACTTTAGTGGAAGGTAACTAGAGGTGAATATTAACTGAACACTTATATATCATCTCTTAGGAATAAATGAAAGAAAATTAATTTTGATAGAGTTGGTTTTTGTAATCTATTTCAGTGAGCCCAAATTGGTAGAATAATGTTTCTACAGAATGAAAATTGTCAAGTTTTTAATAATGTTTTTATGAAGAAAAACTATTTTGAAAGCAGAATGTTTTATTTATTTGGTCAAGGATTCAAACAGGGGTGTAAAATCAGCTTCATGGACATATCTTAGGGGCTTCCCCAGTGCCTCAGTGGTAAAGAATCCATCTGCAGCACGGGAGTTGCAGGTTTGATATTCCTGGGTCGGAAATAATCCCTGGAGGAGGGCATGGCAACCCACTCCAGTATTCTTGCTTGGGAGAATCCCATGGACAGAGGAGTCTGGTGGGCTACAGTCCATAGGGTTGCAAAGAGTTGGACACGACTGAAGTGACTGAGCATGCACATGTAATATTTTAGACTGAAATCTCAAAATTAGAACATCCCTGTGAATTTTTTTTTAACCCATTGGTGGTGTTCCCATTTCTGAATTTTTAATGACACAGTGAATATTTTCATGATTTTTTTTTTTTTTAACCTATGGTAAAACACTTCACATACAAAGGTCTCATCGGGAAAAGTGCTTAGAAATGAAGCAAAACAATCTATACTGTGTGTGTGGGCCATATCACATACTCAAAAAAGTCTTTGTCTTCTAGAGGGAGCCTCACTCTGGAAAAATGAAGAAAGGTGTTCCAGTTTTTAAAAGACCTGGATCTGCTATCTGTTGAAATTATATTTCTGGTATGCAATTTTACTTAAATATTCTTTTGTAATCAAGATTGGCCGTGTTATTATATGTCTGTCTCTTTAAAATAGATAGAATTTGTCCCACTGTACAGTTACCTCTGAATGTCTGTATATTGAAAAGTAGAGCAAATTGCTGTGTTGCATGAAGCTGCTTTTCTAATGGTTTCCTTATTTTTTGAAAAGTTACTAAATTTGCTTATTTGCAGCCAAAGTAGTCTTCATAAAACTATATGGTCTTTTGCTCTAGTAGATGTTTTCTTATTTTGATTTAAATCATGGCATATGAGAAAAATAGATTTGTCAAAGTTCAGTATACAGTTAAATCTAATTGTTTTTTGTAACAAATCGGTTTTATAATATAGAACAAAAATAATTTTAGCCATCATTGAAGACTTTTCAAGGTTAATGATATGTGATATGTAGAATTAGAAGAAAGGAAGTCTTTCTAAGTGGATGAAGGTTGTGAACAAGGATGCAGTTACTTAAGAAAAACTGTTTGGGACAGCGAGAAAACCAGTTTGGAGAGGATGGCTGATTAAAGATTACCTTGGAAATATTGTGTGAAACCAGCTTGTCAAGGTTTCTAGAATTAGTTGCACATCAGAATTATCTATAGTGCTTGTGTTGTATGGGTTTGGAAACTTGTAGAGGGCCTTGAGAGCTGGGACGTGAGCAGAAAGTGATTATTTTTTTATTTGTTTTATTTTCAGATTTTACAAATCAAGATGGAATTTAAAAATTACTTCTCGTCCCACCCTAACATTAGATTTTTTAAATTTGCTTCATCCAGTCTGTGCGCATATACTTTTTTTAGACTTAGAGAAATTTTTGTTTTTCTTCATTACTTAATATTATAATAGGTATTCAATATGACTGCACGGCCTCCACAATAATTTTAATGTCTGAAAGTTTTCCATCAAACTGTTTTATGTCTAACTTTATTTTTCTTTTGCTTACCTATAGAAAAATTGTGCTATAATTATCATCTATGCACATCGAGTATTTTCTGTCTTTTGTACTGTTCTTTTAGGATTGATTTAAAAGGTTTAAATCATGGCATAAAAATATATGAACATTTTTATGACTCTTTGAAATGTTGCCATGTTGTTTTCCAAAAAGAGTTATAATTTACACTGTCACCTTTCCTGTGAGTTTAACTACCACCATTGGGTAGCCTTTAATTATAATCATTTTTGCTGATTCAACGGGTACAAAATATATTGAACTCTTTCTTTGTAATATTTTTGTTGTTAGCTAATGAAATGGGACCTTCATCCATAGTTTCACTTACTGATTCTTAGCAGTGGACAAGTTGTGTATTCAAGGCTTTTGTCCATTTATATATATGAGAGTTTTGATATTTTGTTCCCTATTTCTTTTGATTTCATTATGTATTTAGTAGTAAGTTGCTGCAGATACTTTTGCATAAAGACTTCCCTTTTGATTTTCATTATTTTTGTTGAGGGTTTTTGAGTAGATATAGAATGTATTATTGGAAAATTACTTGGAAACAGTATCCACTATGACTAGAGAAGTGACCCAGGAATTGAAGGCAGGGAAACCATTAAGATACTCTTGTGGGGGTGTCAGCATGAGGTGAAACTCGAGTGAGCAGGGCCTGGAGAAAGAATAGGTAAGCACGAGATTGTGAGAAAAAGAGTGGATAGTGTTTGGTTTCCAGTTGATGACAGAAGTAAAGAAGAAGGAAAAAAACCTCAAGATTCTAAGAAGTGGGAAATAGATTGTGCCGTGAATAAACTTGGAGTCAGAAGAGGCTACTGGTTGGCAAGGAAGGTGAAATGGGTTTTAAACATGCTAGTAGAGCTTGAACAGTAAGTGTGTGTTCTTGTTTTTGTGAAAGTGCCTGTGAGACCCCTAGGGGACGAGGCGTATGCTGGACCTTGCATCGTTTTCTTCTTCTGACATTCTGGCGTGTGGTGCAGCTTGTGGGATCTTACCTCCCCACCCAGTGAAAGTGAGGAGTCCTAACCACGGACCTCCAGAGAGTTCCCTGTATTCTGACTTTTAATTCCAGTATTCCATTAGATATTTTGGTGCTTTTATTAGGGCTTTTCTTAGTTCTGAGTTTTAAAGTACAAGTTGGAAAGCGAAGTTGAAGTGGATTATTCAGTAAAATAAACGGAGGAAAAATGGATGATTCTTGAACTAAGTTCAAGAAAGGTAACATGTACATTATATCTCTGCTGCTGCTAAGTCATGTTAGTCGTGTCCTACTCTGTGCGACCCCATAGACGGCAGCCCACCAAGGCTCTGCCGTCCCTGGGATTCTCCAGACAAGAACACTGGAGTGGGTTGCCATTTCCTTCTCCAGTGCATGAAAGTGAAAGTGAAGTCGCTTAGTCGTGTCCGACTCTTAGCGACCCCATGGACTGCAGCCTACTAGGCTCCTCTGTCCATGGGATTTTCCAGGCAAGGGTACTGGAGTGAGTTGCCACTGCCTTCTCCAACATTATATCTCAAGTACTCATAACTGGCATTTTGTGCCTCTTGACTACCCTTATGTAATTCCCCCTCCTCATACTCCCCACCTCTGGTGACCACAAATCTGATCTCTTTTTTTCTTTTTTTTTTTAAGTATAATTGACAAACTACTGTGTGTTAGTTTCTGGTACACAACATAGTGATTCGATATTTCTATACATTTCAAAATGAGTACCTTGAAAATTGGTAATTCTGGTTATCATAGTTTTCATTTTTGAAAAAATTAAAATATTTATCTTGTATATTTCAAAGACTAAGTCACTTGAATTACTTAGAAGATTTAGGTCTCCCCAATATCCCCACTAGAATTACAATTTTAAAAATTATTCAGGAGTAGCAAAGAAGATACCTGAGCTTATATAGATGTGGCCAGGCTTTTTGTGGGGATGGGTGATTTAGGGTAGATTTCTTAATCTCTGCCTCAGCTATAAAATAGGGATAGTAATAGAGCCGACTTGGTTAGGATTAGTATTAAATGAGTTAATAGATGTAAAGTACTTACAATGATGCTAGACATTAGGTGGTGTGTTAGTGTGTGTGTCCTATTACATAATGTTTGTCATTCCAAGAGAATTTTATATTTATATACATAAATAAAGCATCTAGACTCTTGTCTCCCCTTCCTGAAGGTGGTTATCAATCTCTCTCGAAACTTACTTCATACTTCCTCCCTTCAGGTATTACTTGCTACAGTCACACTAAAACTATCATGGCTACCCTGCATAAGCTCTGTATTTTCCGAGTTCTTTGTTGTTACTCATACTTTTCTCACCATCTAGAATGTTGCCCTATTGTCAGATATTCAAAAGCTGCTTTTTTAAGTGGTGCTTTCTTGATATTTCTGCAGCTATAGGTAATCTGTCCATATGAATTTCACATATTTCCTTTTGCATAGTTTATGCCACTTTCTATATTGCTTTATTACCTTTTTGTCTACTTAAATGTCCTTCACTAAGTTATGATATCTTAGAATTGTACCTTATTCACCTTTGTAGGCTTAGAACCTGTCATAGGCCTTGGCATTTAGAAGGCACTCATTTGTGGAGTAACAGTTCATAAAAATATAGCAAGCTAAAAGGTGATAGTTAATGGAGAACGCATGCCAGTGAAAATGTGCTTTGTCAGCTTTTGTACACTAGGCACAACCTGCCTGATGAGTTACTTAAAATGAGATCACTTGAGGTTTAGGAATTGGGTCAGATTCCAGAATGTATAGTGGGCTAGATGACTCTGGGGACTATCCACAGGTCAAGGATTTTCGTTAGAATGACTTCCTATTGTGTTATAAAGGCTAGTATGTCTAATTAACCACCAGAGGGCTTGTTTTTTTCTGACAACCGAATTTTCACAGATCTGCCTGCCCACCAATCTTCCTCATCTTCAGTGGTCCAAATTTGTGAAAAGTTTGGCCAGGATTGAAGGGTAGGTACATCTGCTGCCAATACCAATATACAAACTACCTGACTCAATCAGTTATTGAACCGATAATCTCTCTCCAAGTATATTTTTCTTATCATAATACCATAATGCCTCTAGATGTGAAAGGAGGAGTAGGCTGAAAATAGGAACTGAGTGAGGTAATATTTATATCCCTAAAAGGTTAACTGATACTTAACAACCCCTGAAAATCAGAAGTATCAGACATTGACTTGATAATTTTAGCACTTTTGGAATTTGCTGCTATTCCTGCTGAATGGGTTCAGATTGACAGAAGCTTTAATGTCCTTATCCAATCTCATTGTTTCATATTTAACAAGTGTTCTGACAAAACGGATAACTTGGAATTATAGCTGAGCCAAGGGCACTGATTGATTTCATTGAGGTGATGTTTCTGTTCTGTGTATTTGAGTGTAGTTCTCATACACAGAACAGATTAAAGTACAGTGCACTCTGTATTTTTTTCTCCTGTAGTTCACTTTTTTTAAAAATCTGTTGTGACCGACAAATTAATTTTATAACTTACAAATGTGAACCTGCTTTTGAGGAGTAGGAAAATGGACTTGACTAACAGTGGTTTACATTGATTTGGTAGGTTTTAACATTTACAAGGCACTTTGATATATTGCTATACCCTTAAGTGTGATAGCTTAAAAGTGAAGGTACAAAGTAACTGTTACCTGAAAATGCTTCTAGTTGTTTTCAGCAGCAGTGAAATGGAGTGTAGAGGGTGACAACTTGAAATCACAGGGGAGGATTCTTTTTTACTTACGGTATGTTTGATAGTGTGTTATTGATTCTGCTAATCCTAACAGCCCATTTAAGGGTGTATATTTCTAGTTAGGATGAGTCTTTGTGTTTCTTAGTCTTTAGATCCAGTCATAAAACTCCTTTTAGTGTTTGTATAATTTTGGTGGCTTAGCTTTTGGTCAGACAGGGTAAGGAGGGGGATTCTTAAATGAAGTAACATAACAAAAGGAAAACCATCTTCCTGTTTCTTATTTCTCTATGTATCATGTGATACTGTCTTTTTAAGACCTTTGAAATGCCAAGGGAAGCTTGGTAACCAAGGCAAGGTTTTGTTGTTTTCTTCTCAAATTTATAGTTCTGCATTTTATTACACAGTCACGAAGAACTTAGTCTGTTACCAGTAAAAACTGAAGCCTCAAGACTTATTTCTCTATGCTGCCAAGTACTTCCTGTTTTGTCAGATTTCCATTTAGGGAAAAGAATGGTTTTAGAGTAGACAAGCCTGAAAGCATCTCTTCTGAAACTCATTTTGAAAGCTGTCCAAATACCTAGACTGGGGGAGAGGGGATGGCATGTCATGTCTTCACATGAAGTCATTTGTCAGAAAGCTTCATTTGGCTTATCATGAAAGGGTTGCCAACAAGGAAGAAAAACTTTGTTGTCAGAAGTAATTGCTAAAGTATAAACTTGCCAACATTGGTGACTTGCCTGTTAGGCTTTCCATGTCAAACGTGTTTCAGTTTGTTCAGTGAATCATTGTATTGCCTGTGAAGGAGGTTTTATCTGTGTTCATTTCTAGTAGACCTTTCCTCTAGAAATATGTAAACTACATTCAGCCACATTTATTCTATTTACAGTAGGGACAGGTGAAAGATCAAATGGTGATTAATTGAAATGGGCTACCTTGTGAATATTGAAAATCTTTGGGGGAAAGGTTGCTGTAAAATGATGTTAATCTCTTGTTAGTTAAAATAGTAAATAACATTTATGTAAATAGAATTATCTGTCACTTATTCTTTATCCAGGTAGCTCAGTGGTAAAGAATCCACTTGCCAACACAGGTTTGATCCCTGGGTCAGGAAGATCCCCTAGAAAAGGAAATGGCAACCCACTCCAGTATTCTTGGCTGAGAAATTCCATGGACAGAGAAGCCCTGGTGGGCTGCAGTCTATGAGGTCGCAAGAGTCAGATATGAATTAGTGACTAAATAGCAGTAACATTTTTATCCTATGAAATGAACTTCAAATTAGGTGTTAATAGACATGTAATAGAACATGTCAGCAGAAGATGCTTTCAGTGTAAACCTGAATCCCTTCATATTGCTGTTAAGGGAGTCTTGTGTTCAGGTTCTTTGCAATGGCAGAACTGAGCCCACATGTAAAATTTTCTTTGATCATACTGACCTGGCCTGTTTCAAATCAGAGCTATTTTTCTCTCTTGACCTGTTTGTAAAATATAAAAGATGCTCTTTTTTTTAAGTTGCTTTTTAATCTCTGAATTCTTATGCATCTTTTTTTCCTTATCAGCTACCTGGCTTTGTCCCCCTTCCATGTTGAAGATGTTGAGGGAACAGACGTTGAATCAATGAGATATTAGAAACCACCTATTACAAAGTTTCTACCAGATACTTCTTTTTTTAATCTAGTTATGTGCTATTTCTGAAACATGTTACTTTAAAATCCAGTGGAAAAAAGTTTTCCCATGTACCCATCATGCCCTACAGCTTCATCTTCCATTTTGCTATACATCAGAAATCTAATCTCTTAAAACCCTTTAATAACCATTTGTTGCCATATTTTAATAAGCCATATCCAAATCAATGATTCTCACATTGTAGTGTATTCAGTAGCATTACATCAGGTACTTGTTCAAAATAGATTGATGAGACTCAATTCAGATCTCATGAATTCACTTCTATGGAGAATTATCATGCAGGTGGTCTCTTAACCAGACGGAGGAATGGTAATCTGCTGCATGCACGCCCATTGTCATCTCTTCTTCATATTCTTACATGAATTATTCTTTTTACTTTGTTTGAATTATTGACATCTCAGTTTTTTTCCTATTAATTGCTGATATCCTTAGTTTTTCTCCTAAATTCAGTGGTTGGAGAGTTTATCCACCAGACACCCAGGAAACTGTCCAAGATTCCTTTCCTTGTTTGTCAGGATTTATCGCTTCCCCTGCTTCCCCTTCCCGAAGCACACACGTTTGGAGGTCAGTATATACATACTGGCTATGTGTACATAGTAATACATGCACATGTATTTCTAATATATCTTGCTAGTGATTGGGTCTTTTTCCCAAAGGGGGAAGAATTGCATAATACTTAGTTTTATGTTTAATTTTTCCTGGCAGTATGATATATTGTAGACATCTAAATATTTGCATTGAATCTTTACTGTGCTGTCACTTGAGTGCTGCGTGTGTGTGTGTGTGTGTGTGTGTGTGTGTGTGTGTGTAATGTGGTGATTACCTCTTGCAGTATTAGGATGGTTAAAGAAGGAACATTAGTTTTATTTGTAATACAAATCTGAGTCTTTTTCCCATTTTTTAAAATTGGGTTGTTCAATTTTCAGAGTTTTTAAACATTCTGGTCAGGTATCCTTTGTCAGATGTGATTTATTTTCTCTAGCGTCTGTTCCTAAATAGTCAGGTTTTTTCACTTATGTATTATGCTTTTGGTGTATGATAGTATCTGAGAACTCTTCTTTAAACCGGGGTCACAAAGATTCTTTTTTTCACCCAGAAGTTTTAGACTTTGAGGTACATTTTGACTTACCATCACTTTGAGTTAATTTCTGTATATGGTACAAGGTATGGTTTGGTTTTTGGTGTGTTACTCTTTGTATACAGATGTCCCGTTGCTCCAGCACCATTTGTGAAAAAGCACTGTCTTTCTCCATTGATACGTCTTTTCGCCTCTGTCACAATCGACGGTGTATTTAATGAGTCTATTTTTAGACTCTTTTCCATTAGTAATATTACATTTATAGTAAGTCTTGAAATCAGATGGCATAGGTCTTGCAACTTTTTCTTTTTTGAAAATGTTTTGGCTATTCTAACTTCTTTTCCCAAGTAAATGTTAGCAATAGCTTGTTGATTTCTTTACACACACCCCACACATACACTCCCCAAATAAACCACTTGCAAATTTGATTGGGTTTTACATTAAATCTATAAAATCATTTTAGAGAACTGACAATACTGAGTCTTCCCATGACTTTAGTTAGTTCAGTTTCTCACCAGCATTTTTAATTTTCAACACAAAATCTTGTACAAATTTAAATTTATATCTTAGTATCCGTTTTTGATGTTATTGTAAGTGGGCATAATTATTTTATAGATGAGGGAATAAGTAACTTGCCCAAGCTGAAGTGGCAAAGCCAGTATGAAACTTACATTAGCACCACTATCCTGGTTTTCATTATGATACTGGTTTTCTTATTCTGAAATCATGGTTATAGTGGTGGCAGAGAGGAAGCCCTAGTTTTATGACAAGAAAAATCCCATTAACCATGCAGGTGTCGAGTTGATTCCAGAGTTTATGATTTCCTGAATTTAGGTTTTCCAGATCTGCTCAGATTGTAAACCATGCTTGTCTTAATTTAGAAGCTTCTGATCAGTACAGTTGTGAACTAGTGTAAGGTATATCTTACCCTATAGTATATCTTGCCCTAGTATATCTTACTAGGTAAGGTATATCTTACCCTGTAGTTAACTAGTGTGAATTATTTCATTTTTAAAAATACATACCCTTAGCATTTGAATGCCTACCATGTGCTCACCAGTACAGATACAAAGATGGTTTCTTGAACAACTCCCATGGGAGGCTAGGTGGGAATACATTTATTATAGTCAGTATTATAGTAAACACTGTAATAAATACATACACATGGTCAGTGGTGGAACAAAAGCTTTTACTTGGTTGCAGTTGAGAGTAGCTGTACTGTTTCATGTTTTAGAATTCCTTTTAAAAAATAATTTGAAAACTGTTAAGTGGAAAGCATGTAAAGGGCTTTGAGAGGGAGAAATCTGTCAGTCATTTCATAAGGATTGCTTTTGCACTTGATGGGGAATCCTTAGGAAAGACCAGTTAATGAATAACCTAGGCATGGTAAATACAGTATGGTGTCATACGGTGTAGGAAAGTAAAAAAGGTTCAGTATGAGTTTCATTTTGAAAGGTGAGGAACAATATTTGAGTTTTTACATTAAGCCTTCATTTTTTTCATTTGTGGATTTCTTCTGACTTAACAGCATTTTGATAAATGTATTAATGAGTTAATTTGTAATCTGAATTTGCTTTTCATATCTTGAGTATTCTAATGTTTCAATCAGGTAAATATATTGAGGATTTACAACTTAATTTTTCTTGTTTATTTTTCAGATTCCCTTGTGAATGATAGAAATGAAAGTGAATGGATAGTCTTATCAGATAAGTATGTTTTGAGTCTAAATATATTTGATTTTTTTCCATAAGATGGCTCTACTAGTACTTATCTTTATTTGAAACAATTTTGTTACATTGTATCATGACAGCTGGCATATCAGCATGCACTTCAAAAAATGTTATAAAAATGGGTGAATTTTTGTGTAGCTATATTAATACTGAAGATGAAAGAAGAAAAACAACATTTTCAGCATATTGTGCCTTTTTGTATCAAGGAAGGTAAAAATGCTACTGAAACACAAAGATTTGTGCAGTGTATGGAGATAGTGCTGTGACTGATCGAACATCTTGCAAGTGGTTTGCAAAGTTTCATACTGGAAATTTCTCACTGCATGATGCTCCCACTTAAACCAGCAAAAACTTGATGAAAAGTGTCTGTAATTAATCAATAGAAAACGCATAGTCTTCCATCAGGATAACACAAGACTGAATGTTTGATGACCAGGCAAAAACTGTCTCAGCTTGGCTGGTTAAGTTGATTCATCTTCTGTATTCTCCAGACAGTAAGCCTTCATATTTACATTTAGTTTGATCTTTAAAAAATTATCTTAATGGAAAAAATTGAAATTTCCTGGAAGACTGTAAAAGGCACCTGAACAGTTCTTTGCTCAAAAAGATAAAAAGTTTTGGTAAGTTGGAATTAAAAAGTTGCCTAAAAAATGTCAGAAGGTAGTGGAATAAAACAGTGACTACATTCTTCAATAAAGTTATTGGTGAAAATGAAAAATGTGTCTTTTTTTTAATTAAAAAATTGAGGACCTTTCTGGCCAATCCAGTATTTGTAATCTGTAAATCAAAACAGTATTCTTTAAAACATATTTTTTTAATAGAAGTATCGAGATTCCTGAAAATAAATTTGTAATCTTGTCAAAGCAAAATGTACCTGCCATTTTTTTTTCTTCCCAAGACTGGTCATACCTCAGTTAGAAAGTGCCCTTGCAGTCGTACCTTGATTATTAATTCTCTGTATAGTATATATGAAAATCAATTGCTTTTCTTTGATAATAGCTGAAAAACTAGATATATCTGCTTGGTTTTAGATTTATCTGATGTTTTGAGGTGGCTTAACTGCTCAAATTTAAATTTCATTAGAACCACTGTTATTTTAAAGAGGATTATTGGCTATTCCAGTGTGAATTTAAGAACAGATGTTCTCACAGTATAATGAAAATAGAAGATTCATGTGCCATTCATACTTGGAAGTAGGAAGTATCAGACACTGGCTTAGGGTATTAAGCTTATTATTCCAATTTAATGTTCTTTAGGTGTTTCTCCAAGGTCACTGGGGTCATTCTCAGTTAAATACACGAGTAGTAAAATGTAGCAGATAATTTTACATAAAAGCAGCCATGATAATGAGAACTGGTTTTGAGTTGTTTGTATAGTAGTTAACTATTCTCCCATGATTTACTCTAAATGCTCAAAGTCCAGCAACACCCTACTGCCAAACTCTGATCTCAGAAAAGTATGACAGTTGAATGGAGTGATACTGGCATGAGGCCAGTATAGGGTGTGTGTATACCTAGCATACTTGGCCTGAGTTCAGATTGTTCCTCCTGTGAGTGCTACTGCTCCTTGAAGGCCACAAAACTGATTATTAAACTCAATAACAGTTTTTTGTTTACAGAGCACTTACACATGCATTCTAATATATTCTTAAGCGTAAAATATGGCTTTTTTAATTTGAACTTACAGATCAAGAAATTTAAGTGACACAATAGAGACTTCGTGAATCCTTAAATCCACTCCTCAAAATAAAGTTCTAAAGGTTAACAAAGGTTAACAGTGGCTGTTAACCAACAATTACTTCACTAAACACCAAACTGAGCAGTGGTATCAATTACCTATGAAGCTGGTAGATGCAAAACAGACAGTCCAGCAGGATATGATACAGATGAGTGATGGGGTTTTAAATTAATCTGATTCCAGAGCCTCCATCTACAGTATTTTTAACTAAGAAATTTTACAGCAGGCATAAAGCTGCATCTTAATGCTGAATAAACAGGTGCTCAATTATCCCCACCAGTTCTGTCAGGCAAATATTAACCAAACTTGAATCGTTATAAGACAAAAATTTAATGAAAATTGGTATGTAATAATCCAAAGGGCTAAATAGTTACATGGGACTGTATTAGAAATTTAATATACAAGTAAATGTTACATGTTATCATCATCTGATTCATCTTCTTCCTTCAAAGATTCCTGGTAAGAGAAAAAGTGTTTAAAGTCAATTTTTAGCACTGCTATAACAACCTGAATCTAAGTGTTTGTCATTCAAAATTCTTTATAAGTAAAATGGAACACTGGTTTAGAATGTTAAACTTTACTTGAATGTCTTAAGTACATCCTGCTCTATCAATGACTATATTCTTGATAGGATACACACAGTATGAAAGCATTAAATGTTCTCAAAAAAACCTTGCCATTTTCACATGCACAAAAAAAATTTTTTGGAACCAGGGCAACTTTATCCCCATTGAGGATAACCTAGAAAGTTTCGTTTAGTTCACCTCAACTCTTAAGTGTTATTTAATAGAATTCAACATATTTCCATGATGCTTTTACCTTGAGCTGTTTTCATGCTATGGCTTACCTTGGCGTATTTCTCTGCCTCTTCCCTTATATCTTTAGGAACTATTTCATGTCTTCCATTAGTTACTGTAAATTAAGCCATATATTTAAATGAATTAAAAACGAGAACTGTCACTGTGATTTGAAAAGACTAAACAATCTAGCCAATCCATAGGTAATACCAGGTTCTTTGACCTCATCTTTGTGCTTCATAAGCTCTTACAATACAGAAATTATGCTATGATTTATCCTGGTGCTATAAATCCTGAGCATTCATTCACATATATATATTCACAAACACAGTCAAAGGTATGGTTTTTCCAGTAGTCATGGTGATGTGACAGGTGGACCATAAAGAAGGCTGAGTGCCAAAGAACTGATGATGCTTTTGAATTGTGCTAGAGAAGACTCTTGAGAGTCCTTTGGACTGCAAGGAAATCAAACCATTCAATCCTAAAGGAAATCAACCCTGAATATTCATCGAAAGGACTGATGCTAAAGCCAAAGCTCCAATATTCTGGCCACCTGATGTGAAGAGCCAACAATATGGAAAAGACCCAATGCTAGGAAAGGTTGAAGGCAAAAGGAAAAGGGGACAGAAGAGAATGAAATGGTTAGACAGCATCACTAACTCAACATGAATTTGAGCAAATTCCAGGAGATAGTGGAGAACAGAGGAGCCTGGTATACTGCAGTCCATGGGGTTGCAAAGATTCATGAGTTAGTGACTGAACAATTTATTCACAGCATGATTAGATTTTAAAATCTGTCCCTGAAGCCCTATGGTTGCCTTCCTAGAAAGAAAAAAGGTTACTTCCCAATAATACTGTATGCAATGGATATTTCAAAGTAAATAAACTACTCACAACTATATAGTCTCTTATTAGGCAGAACTTTTCCATTAGTATCTCCTAAATTTATTCTAGCTTTGTTTGTATTAGAAAGGCACCCAGCAGTCAGAACACACTGTGGCCAGTACTGCAATTGAATGAATGCTTATTTCATGATCCAGCAGTTCCACTGTTAACATATTTCTAAAATGCTACTATATATGCATGCCACAGTAGATGTAAAGGACATGCACAACTGCATTATTCATTTCAGTAAACACTGGAAAGAGCCCAGTTGTCTACTGGAATTCAAGACAGTGGTTACCTTTGTGGACAAGGTAAGGGTTGTTGACTTAATGGAGGCTTAAGGGTTGAGCTATTTCAAATCCTAAAATATGATGCTGTGAAAGTGCTGCACTCAATATGTCAGCAAATTTGGAAAACAACAGTAGCCACAGGACTGGGAAAAGTCAGTTTTCATTCCAATTCCAAAGAAAGGCGATGCCAAAAAATGCTCAAACTACTGCACAGCTGCACTCATCTCACATGCTAGTAAAGTAATGCTCAAAATTCTCCAAGCCAGGCTTCAGCAATATGTGAACCGTGAACCTCCAGATATTCAAGCTGGTTTTAGAAAAGGCAGAGGAAGCAGAGATCAAATGGCCAGCATCCGCTGGATCATCGAAAAAGCAAGAGTTGCAGAAAAACATCTATTTCTGCTTCATTGACTATGCCAAAGTCTTTGACTGTGTGGCTCACAATAAACTGTGGAAAATTCTGAAAGAGATGGGAATACCAGACCACATGTCCTGCCTCTTGAGAAACCTGTATGCAGGTCAGGAAGCAACAGTTAGAACTGGACATGGAACAATAGACTACCAAATCAGGAAAGGAGTACATCAAGGCTGTATATTGTCACCCTACTTATTTAACTTATATGCAGACTCCGTCTAATGTTGAGGCTGAAACGCCAATAATTTTTGGCCACCTGATGCAAAGAGCTGACTCATTTGAAAGGATCCTGATGTTGGGAAAGATTAAGGGCAGGAGAAGGGGACAACAGAGGATGAGATGGTTTGATGGCATCACCGACACAATGGACATGGGTTTGGGTGGACTCCAGGAGTTCGTGATGGGCAGGGAGGCCTGGTATGCTGCGGTTCACGGGGTCGCAAAGAGTCGGACACAACTGAGTGACTGAACTGAAGTGAAGGGTAATTTGGCAGGCTGGTCTACTTCTTCACCAAATTAGTTTACACTAATATATTCATGCTGTTTGTTATTTGTGTACTTTTCTGTGTGTACAGGCCATTACTAACTTTTTTTAAGGTTGAAAAAAAAAAGGCACCTATAGTAAATTAGGCTTGGTAGTGATGACTCTGAGAGCAAATAAGTATGGAGTAATCACTTACTTTCACCAACCCAGCTGAGCTCTAGTTCAAAAGCTTTATCCTTAACTTCATCGTGGACTATATAAATTCTAGAACAGAAAGAGGAAATTAACATTTGGCCATCTACAAACATAGTTCATCCGTTCCTAATATAAGTATTTATAAAATTATACACACAGTATACATAGTCTATAATATGAAAATTAATTAGGACTGATAAAAAACACTACAAAGGATTCACTATACCATATACCTTTATACAACCCAAGCTGTTTATTTTGATACGCTCTTTCAGAGACAGATGAAAAAGATGTCTCATAAGGAACATTCAAATGGGAGAAAGCTATTACCTGTGCCTTTCCAGGATATTTGGTATTTTCCATTCATTAACTGATTTTTAAACAAAAACTAATTTATTAGTTTACAATTAGTCTTCATTCTGCACTTTCTTGGCAGGAATATTTTTAAACCCCTTTACTATTCTGGATGTGCCTAAACCTGGCCTTTAAACAGTACAAGACAAACTGCAGCAAACAAGGAAACAGCGTCAAACAATATATTAAAAGTAGAAGTAAAAACAAGGCTTCCCTCGTGACTCAGTGGTGAAGAATCTGCCTGCCAATACAGCGGATGGGTTTGATCCCTGATCTCAGAAGGGCCCACATGCTGCAGAGCAACTATACTATGGGCCCCAACTACTGAACCTGTGCTCTTAGGAGCCTGGGGGTTGGAACTACTGAAGCTACCAGGCCACAGTGAGGAGCCTGTGCACAATGAGAGAAAAGCCTGGGCAGCAATGAAGACCCAGCACAGCCAAAAATAAAATTACTTTTAAAAAACAGAAGTAAAAAGTTACCAGCAAAGCTTTTTTTCTATTTTACACCTTACCATCTTTCACAACAAAGTAGCAAAAGTAATTTGGAGAGTAATTCCTA